AAAGGTAGAACAGGGGAAAAGGGGAAGGCGTAACGGGGAAAGGAATGTTCAGTCCAGGCGTCAAGACGCTGCAGAATCAATTTGAGCGCTTGATTGGAACATCAGACCGACTTATGCTGCCTGTTACCCAGCACTAAGTGATTGGTTCCCAGCGCTAACTGACCGTCAGCCAGCACTGACGGACCGTTAGTCAATGCAGTGACGGAGTCGTCGGCGTGGTGGCGGATGAACGACTCGATGGACATTCCAGGTGCCTCAAGGACCGTAATCCCAGCATTGACAGCAAGCACCAACGGACCGTTACCCAGGACTAACTGACTAACTGACCGTTAGCCAAGGCGGTGACGGAGTCGTCGGCGAGATCCGCGTGGTGGCGGATGAAGGTCTCGATTGACTCCACCAGCTCGCCCGGCATCATGCCGCCCTGCTCGCCGCTCGCGTCGCCGTTGTCATTCCTGATACTGTCGCCTTCGCCTCCCGTTAGAGTGCGGCCCGAACGCAAGCGTGCGGGCTTGCCTACCATCGTGAGTAATTCCAGGCAGAACGTGGTTATATTATTGAGTCCGTCACGATTCCTGGCAGTACGTGGTTGGTTTTTTTAGTCCGTCAAAATTCCTGGCAGAACGTTGGCTGATGCGCAGGCGTGGGCGAGAATGTGAAGGGTTTCGTTGCGCTTTGGATGAGCGGAGGTTGTTGTTCGTCTGTCGTTCGTACGATATGCTGAGCTTCACGCGCTACTTCCAGACAGCGTGTTCATCACACACAGCACAGCTTGTGTGAGGTGAAGCTCTCATTGTTCACAGAGTGTTCGCTTGAAACGCACTTACGACTGCAACTCCCGTCTGCTTCTCCTACCATTCCGGTTTAGAAGCACACTGGGAACTTCGCAGATGTTTGATTGTGGATGGGCAGTTCTGAAATCGCACAAGTGAGTCTCACGAGATGGAGTTGATACGTATAGAAAACGGATTTCGGCCTCCTTCACTGTATCAATAATACCTCTCTCCTTATTGTGCGACTCACAAATGCGGATCAGTGCAATCTCTCCCCCATTCCGCCCCAATTTCATTCCCTGGTTGTTCGCATCCGCTATTTCCAGAATCCAGACCATTCCACTTGGGATTTCCGCCCTTTTGTTTTTCACTCCAAGCCGCAGCGGCCATCTTCCCGCGTCTCCTAACCGAATTCGCAAAATGCTCGCCTGTGCAGCCCCGCCCTCCCTCCCCACCTCCCTGCACGTCACAGGCTCGGCGCGCACTTCTCACAGCCGCAGTCGCAACCATTGCAATAGCGCGACTATTTATCCTCGTCATGAGCCATCTGAGCGGGGAGACGGGACGAGATCCTCCCAGTTGCTAGGTTTCCACAACTCGGCGTGCTTGCAAGGCGGCGCGACTCGAATCTCCTGCCATCCTCCTCCTGCCGCTGCAAGGCGAAACTCCCCAAAAAGGCAAGTTGACGTGCCGCGTTGCCTGTACTCGCCTCATCAACCACGTTTGTTCCAGCTTCGCCATCCATTATCCTCATCAGAATGTGACTCACTCTCGTCCTCGTCACGAGCATCAGGAGCCATCCGCGATTTTTGAGGCGCCTAAAATTTTCAACTTCGTCATCCATTATCCTCATCAGAATGTAACTCACCCCCGTCCTCGTCCTTGTCCTCTCTATTCCCCAACAGACGAGCATCTGGCGCCATCCGCGCAGCGATCGACGCGTTCGTCATCGCCTTCCAAGGCACGCTCTTAAAGCCCTCCTCCAACGGTCTCCTCGAGCCAGCAGCCGAGGCGCTCCGAACCACCTCTCTGCCCTTCTACGTCCTCACCTCCTCCTCCTCTCCCTCGCCTGCTGACGTCAGCGCGCTCCTGAAGCGCGATGCGGGAGTGGATATTCCCGAGGACTCGCCACGGATCATCTCAGTGGCTGGAGAAGGGGAAGGGGAGGGCAAACTGGCTGCTCTTCTCGCTGTGCGTGTTCAGTGTCTCCCTTGTCCCCGCCGCACTTGTTGCCCCGTGGTCCCGTGCCATGTCATCCCATGCCATGTCATCCCATGCCATTCTATGCCATGTCATCCCATGTCATTCCATCCCAGCCTATTCCATGACACATTATTCCACATCCCTCCTCACGCCACGCTACCCATGCAGGTGAGCAGCAGGCCTCTAGCCCAGGACACAGCCAACACAATGCATTACATCGATTCGAATCCAGCCACTCTCTAAGCATGATGTTTTCTTCCATTCCATCTCATGATGCCACCCACGCGGGTGAACAGCAGGCCTCTAGCACAGGACACAGCCAACACAATGCATTACATCGATTCGAATCCAGCCACTCTCTAATCATGATGTTTTCTTCCATTCCATCTCATGATGCCACCCACGCAGGTGAACAGCAGGCCTCTAGCCCAGGATACAGCTAACACAATGCATTACATCGACTCAGATCTAACCGCCCTCACCCTCGCAGCCAGCCAACCAGAGCTCGCCAGGTGGCAGCTGTACCACGCGCAGTGGAGCGAGAGTGGAGGAGGAAGCGAGGAGGAGACACTTCATCCTCGCATCAGACCGATCGCGTGAGTGGAACGATTTTTTAGGCGCCTCGAAAGACGTGAGTGGATTGTTTTTTCAGGCACTTGAAAGGCACTTGAAAGGAGACACTCACTGCTCTCACCTCAGCGCCTGTTTGCTTCACAGCTTCTCTCCGGCCCTTGTCTCCTCATTGCCGGGGTATTTCCCGCGCAATGGCTTACAAGCTTCCTCCCCCTTCTCCCTTCCCCGCTTTCCTCACGAGCTTCCTCCCCCTCACACACTCCCCTTCCCCCCTTCCGCCTTCCCCCACTTCTCTCTTTTGGTGCGAGCAACACCAGTGTGAAGGATCTAGATGAGCTGCTGCGGTGGGGGCTGCTCATGGGGGTGAATGACGGCTGCCAGGAGTATGAGGATGGCACACCTGCCACCTGACATACACACCACTCATGGACAAACAGGCCAAACAGGCCAATTTAGATTCTTGTTTGGAGCTTAAAGCTCACGGCCCAAATTGTTCAACCTTAGAAAGGTTGACCTTTGGGTGGCGAGAGAAGAAGTTGACTTGTTGGGAGTTGGGCTGTTTGCTTTCGCCCAGTTTCGCGCTAGACCCTTGGGGTTTTCGTTGACACGGCAAACCGCTGGGAGCAACCAGGGTTTGCTTCGAGAGTCCCAAATTGCAATCAACATATTGTTGTTGTTCCCTGCTCCCCCATTCGACAAAAAATATCTGGCCAATCAGATTGCATCTCACTTCTCGCAACCACCCTTCGCAACCCAAACAGCACTCAAAACATCACCCCCGTCAACCTTAGTAAGCTTGGCCAGCGCGCCCAACAATTTGGGCCGCGAGCTTTAATACTTCATAGTACCTGTATAAAAGGCGAGAGCGTGGAAAGTGTTTGTAGAGGGGTGGGATCTATCCTTCCTTCACCTTCCTATCTGATGACAAAGACAAGGCACTCCACCTTCCTAGGAATGCAAGGCCTTCCTTCCTACATCGGACTACAGAATACAACTGCAGTAACATTCTTCTATGATTATGTCTATAATGCCTGGGGCTACTGTAGATGCATATTACCGGTATATGAATTCAGTGTTCCTTCTTGGGGCCCTCTGGGATCCTGCATGTTCTCTCCCTCTTGCTATCTTTGCATCAGGGAGGGCCTACCTTACGTTCTCAGGGGACTGAGAGCATTTGCTTCTAGCAGTAAAGCATCTTGACTTGGTGGCGCCTGTGGACATGCAAGTAGATTCACTCAGGGTTCTTCTAGCCCCCTCGGACTCGGACTACCGTACGTATCAAATGAAGAAGGCCCCACTTTCTTGAGGTCTGCCAGGGCCTCGGCTTTGTGCCAGATGAAGTGGTTGATGGTGCCGGAGGAGCAGAAGATGCACTCGGGGTTCTTCTTGGTGCCCTCTGGAATTGTATGTACCCTCTCCTCCCTCTCCTACTCTCCCTACAATCAAGGAGGCCCCACTTTCTCGAGGTCTGCCAGGGCCTCGGCTTTGTGCCAGATGAAGTGGTTGATGGTGCCGGAGGAGCAGAAGAAAATGCACTCGGGGTTCTTCTTGAGTGCATCTGGGTCTGCACACTTCACTGATGCTGGATCCGCCGTTGTGTTTGGTGGTGCCTTTAACATGGGGCTGGGCGGAGGGGCAAAGGAATGGAGTGGAAGGGAAGGGATGGAATGAGAGATGCAAGTGCGTTTGCTGGCTTGAGCCTTTGTGTCAGGGGCTCTACTTGTTGGGACTGCACACTTCACTGATGCTGGATCTGCCGTTGTGTTTGGTGGTGCCTGCAACATGGGGTTGGGAGGAGGGAGGGAGGGAAAGGGACAGGTACAAATGTATTTTGCGTCATGCTACACGGTAAATGCTTGGGGCCATCTGGGTCTGCACACTTCACTGATGCTGGATCCGCCGTTGTGTTTGGTGGTGCCTTTAACATGGGGCTGGGCGGAGGGGGCGAAGGGAAGAGAAGAGACGAGAAGAGAAGAAAAGGGATAGAATGAGAAGTGCCAATGAGTTTCGCTTAGGGTTTGAGCCTTTTGTCGCGGCTCTTCTTACCAAGTTGGAGATGGCATTGGGGTTCTGGAGCGTGGTTGTGGTGGTACTTGGGGCGAGCAGCAACCCCCAATAGAGCGTGCGGAGCAGCACAGAGGGTCCCCAACACTCACCTCTTATCGCAGATCTGGTTCACGGGTGGCTCTGTAATAGCATCGGGGTTCTGGAGTGTGTCGTAGTACTTGGCGAGCATGAGCCCCCAGCAGAGCGTGCGGTGCAGCAGAGAGTGCGGTGCAGCAGAGAGTGCGGTGCAGCAGAGAGTGCAGTGCAGCAGAGAGTGATGAGCAGCAGGGAGTGCCAAACACTCACCTCTTATCGCAGATCTGCTTCACAGGTGGTTCTGTAATAGCATCTGGGTTGTGCAGCGTGTCATAATACTTGACGAGCATGAGCCCCCAGTAGAGCGTGCGGCCGGTCCACGTACATGCGTACGTTGCAAACTGGTTTGCCGCCTGCACCAGCCGCTGCACCTCCTCGTCGTTCTCCTGCGCCCACCGCACCTTTTCAGTCAGGTCGGAGAATCTGGGGGGAATGGGAGAAGGGGAGTATGGGAGTACAGACAGTGAGCTGTTCGTACCAGCCCCCCCGGGGCCCTGAGCCGCCTGCACCCGCCGCTGCACCTCCTCGTCGTTCTCCTGCACCCACCGCACTTTCTCTGGCAGGTCCGGGAAGCTGAGGGGAGATAGGGGGAGGGGGGAGGAGGGGAGGAGGGAGGAATGAGGAGCGGAGGAAGGGTCGAGGGAAGTGACGACGGGACAGATGATGAGAGGGAAGGAGACAGGGAAAGAACAAGGAGGCGAGTGTGTGTGCGTGTGATAAGAAGACCATAAACCCGCCCATGCCTTCAAGAGCCCTGCTCACTCACGTGCGAGTGGTGGTGAGCCAGTGGACTCTGTCCTGCAGCAGCGGCTCGTAGAACTGCAGGATGGGCGTCTGAATGGCTAACATGGTTACCAGCAAGCACGGTTACCACAGACATGGTTACCAGCAGAAACAGTTACTCACGTGCGAGTGGTGGTGAGCCAGTGCACTCGATCCTGCAGCAGTGGCTCATAGAACTGGAAGATGGGCGTCTCCTGGCGGATGCTCAGCTGGTTGGACCGCAGCACCCCGCACGTGCGGCAGCTGCCCCCCCCTCCGTCCACCAGCACCTGGTACTTGAACGCGTTGAACTGCGTGAAGTTCATGCGCGGCGCCGTCACCACGCCGTCAGCTTTCATTGCATTCTGGGCCTTTTCCCGTGAGTGCGACCACCTGAGGAGGAGGAGGAGAGGACAGACAGAGCCATGCGCGGGGAAAAGGTGTTAGAGGATCCGAAGAGGAGGGTTGTGAGCTGGGTAGGTCCTCCCGCCCCCGTGCTCCAGCACCTGGTACTTGAACGCGTTGAACTGCGCGAAGTTCATGCGCGGGGCCGTCACCACACCGTCTTTTACCATCGCATTCTGGGCCTTTTCCCGTGAATGAGACCACCTGGGGGGGACAGGACAGGACGATGCGTGGGGAAAGGAGGGAGGGGAGTGAGTGCGCATCTAGAGGCGCTGTCACCACGCCGTCCTTCACCTTTGTATCCTGGGCCTTTTCCCATGAGTGAGACCACCTGAGGAGGAGGACAGGACAGACAGAGGCATGCGTGGGGGACAGGAGAGAGGGAAGTGAGTGCGCACCTGGAGGCGCCGTCACCGCGCCATCCTTCACCATTGCATGCTGGGCTTCTTGAGGGACGGGTGCGCGTTGGAGATGCGGTGCAGGCGAATACAGGGGTTGGCATTGGCACCCCAGTTGCCAATTCTTGAGACGCTTCAAAGCTCACCTGTTACCGGCAAGGCGGCCTCACTCACCTGTTGATGTGTGCGTCCATGAGGGACGGGTGCGCGTTGGAGATGCGGTGCAGGCGCACACACGGATTGGCGCCCCAGTTGCCTTTTGAGGCGCCTTGGAAACACTTAGCAAGGCGGCCTCACTCACCTGTTGATGTGTTCGTCCATGAGGGACGGGTGTGCGTCTGAGATTCGGTGCAGGCTGCCGATTTGTTAGACTTCTCAAACTTGCTACCAGCAAGGCGACCTCACCTGTTAATGTGTGCGTCCATGAGGGAAGGGTGCGCATCGGAGATGCGGTGAAGGCGAATACGGGGGTTGGCACCCCAGTTGCCGTCTATCAGCAGATACGACGTGGTCTTGCCGCGGAACACCGCACGCGCCTCCTTTCGCTCCCACGGGATCTGCACGGTGAGAGGCATGGGGCATGGGGCATGGGGCACGGGGCACGGGGATATCCATGGTATGAGCCGTGAAGCCAGTGCTCTTCATGGGAATGAGATGCCATGCTGTGAGCAGTCATCATGGCGAAGCAGTACCACAGCAAGCACACACAATACACCCGCCTGTGTGGCCAGGTCAGGCGTGTGTGGAGTCCTCGGTTAAATCAAGCGGGTCAGGCACGGGGATGTCCATGGTATTGGCGGTGAATCCCGTGCTCATCATGAGGATGCCATGCTGTGCAACGGTAAGCACACACAGGACAGACAGTAGAAAGCACACACAGCACTCGCTCTCCCACCTGTGTAGCCAGATCTGGCGTGTAGTCCTCTGTCAGGTCAAGCGGGTCAGGCACGGGGATGTCCATGGTATCAGCAGTGAAGCCGGTGCTCATCATGGGAGGGGTGGTGGGATGCCATGTCCATCAGGGCAAAGCAGTGGCACAGCAAGAACACACCATACACCCACCTGTGTGGCGAGATCCGGGGTATAGTCTTCAGTGAGATCCAGTGGGTCAGGCACGGGGATGTCCATGGTATCGGCAGTGAAGCCGGTGCTCATCATGGGGATGCCCGGGCGGTCGTCGATGTGGCTGCTGTAGAACGCCATGGGGTGGTCGCACGTGTTCACAAACAGCTCAATGCGCATGTCTGTGAGTTGATACTGCACCACCGCGTCCTGAGCATATGTTTTTGGGGGGGCATGGAGGGGGTTTGTGCAATTTGAGGGTGCATCTGCAGGAGTGGTCGCACGTGTTCACAAAGAGCTCAATGCGCATGTCCGTCAGCTGATACCGCACCACCGCGTCCTGAGGGGATCATGAGGAGGTGAGAGGGGGGGCCCGGGAGAAGGGGTGTTTGGGGTTGCCTCAGTGTGGCTGCTTTAGAACGCCATGGGGTGGTCACAGGTGTTCACGAATAGCTCAATGCGCATGTCCGTCAGCTGATACCGCACCACCGCGTCCTGAGGTGGAGGGGGGAGCGAGGTGAAGGGCGAAGGGGGAGAGGAAGAGAATGGGTGGTGTGTTCTCGAACAGCTCCACGTGCATGTCCGCCAGCTGGTTTCAAGAGGAAGTGCATCCTGACAGGTTGTGAAGGAGGTGGAGGGGAGGGGAGGGGAGACGGAGAAGAAAGGGAAGAGGGTTCTTTTGAGCCTGGACGTGTGGGAGTGGTTGCATGTGTTCTCGAACAGCTCAATGCGCATGTCTATCAGCTGGTACCTCACCACCGCATACTGACAGGTTGTGAAGGAGGTGGGGAAAGAAGGGCGGCAGAGGGAAAAAGGGAGAAGGGGCTAATGAGGGTAGGAGTGTGGGGGTGGTCGCATATGTTTACTTACTGCTCCATACAGGTACTACACCTCCGCACCCTAACAGGAGTTGTTTTTGGGTTTAAGGATGCGGCACCTGTTTTCATTTAGGCAGGATCGATCGTTGGAGGGTATCGATGTGCCGCTTGTACAGTGTATTTGCGACATCGCTAGTGAGGTGACTTTTGAGTCGACTCAAAAGTCACCTCGCTTGTACAGTGTATTTGGACATCGCTAGTGCCTGCCTGGTATCCGTGTTTCGCAGAACCTCGAAAATGTACAGTAAACGATTACCCAAACTGGTGGCACCTGCAGCTCGCACGATCGATGTGCCATGGTGCACACATCGATCTTGCGTTTGGGTTGGCGGGAGAACACATCGCGCCACAGGTGACAGCCGCGATCGATCGGCGTCACCCACGGTCGCAGGTCAAAATTTCTCTAGTCGCTGCGAATGAAATTGCTGGGCGACCAACCACGCTCTGCCCTGATTGGCTGCGCGTTGCAGTGTGTTGGTGTATTCCGACGCAGCTCCAACCTGCCCGATCCTGCAATCTAGATCCTGGCACCTATAGCTCGATGTGTCTACCCCACTGCAAATTTGCAGTGTGGGCACATGGGTGTGCCGATCAATGTGCCAGGATCGATGTGAGGCCCCGATCCTTCCCCGATCCTGGCAAAATGAAAACAGGTGCCGCGTCCTAAGGGGAAGATGGTGGAAGGGGAGGAAAGGGGTTGGGGAGTTCCTGTGCTTTTGAGGCTGGGAGAAGGAGGTGAGGTAGGAAAGCGGTGTGTCCACTGCGTTTGACTCATGTCCAGCCATGCCATGCCATGCCATGCCATGCCGTGACCACTGCCCCTCAAAACCATTCGCACCATCATGCATAGCATATCCCTCCTAATTAAAAAGCCCCAGGCAGCCTGGACGCACGTGGATCATCTTGACGGTCTGCAGGAAGCGGTTGAGGCGGTAGTACTCGCGGAAGAAGCCCCCATAGCGGAAGAACACCTTCCCGTTGATCACCTTCACGTGCCCCGCGCACGACATGATGGCCGGCGTCTTGCTCATCCGCGCCAGCGCCTCTGGCGTCACCATGCCCGTCTTCCCCACTCCCGACGTCAGATTCTGGGTGAAGGGGAGATACGCAGACAGACGATAGCGGTTTGCGGACAAGAAGCATGGTCGCTGGCGTCTTGCTCATCCGCGCCAGCACCTCTGGGGTCACCATGCCCGTCCTCCCCACTCCCGACGTCAGATTCTGGTGGAGGGAACGGACGGTGCAGTGCGAAGAAGATATGCAGTCAGGAAACAGAGGTTTGAGGGCAAGATGCATGATGGAAAGTGCAGCGTTAAGGGAAATACGCAGTCAGGCAAGAGAGGGTTCGTGGAGATACGCAGTCAGGGAAGAGAGGGTTCGTGGAAATACGCAGTCAGGGAAGAGAGGGTTCGTGGAAATACGCAGTCAGGGAAGAGAGGGTTCGTGGAAATACGCAGTCAGGGAAGAGAGGGTTCGTGGAAATACGCAGTCAGGGAAGAGAGGGTTCGTGGAAATACGCAGTCCTGCCTGTACTGTGACTGACCTTGATAGGGCGCCACGGTTCGAGGTACTTGTGGATTAGCTGCAGGTATTTTACCGCCATGGGTTGAGTCAACACCAGCCGCTTATATTGCGGAAGCCGGCCCAATAGCTCTTCATCCGACGGCCGGAATTCACGCGGAAGGGGACACGTGCCTTGCGTGGCAGCCCTAGATTTCATCTCCTCCCACACGTCACGCACTCCCCACCCGAGAACCACGAGCAACCCCGTTAGAAGCACAAGCCACGACCCAAACTGGTCCATGGATAGCCGAGCTAAACCTAATCGCACCAACAGTCTGTGGTACTGCGATCCTGCGTGGAACGCGCTGCCGAAGCCACGTGGACTGCCAGCCTGGCGGAACATCCCCTCGTCGAACGAGCCGCCAGTGGGGCTGTGCGCCTCGTGTCCGTGCTCGCGCTCATCATCCTCCTCGTCGCGGTATTCTCTAGGGCTTCGTGCTCCCGTCGCGCGCTCCTTGAGGTGCTGGCTGCTGCTGTACCCTGCCACGGATCGACTGCTCGAAGTCGCCATTTTTGTACGTGACGATCGGTTCCGCGCTTGGCGATCAGGAAGGACGTTTTGCCGGTCCTACTAATCCGGATACAGCTAACTGATAGTAGAAGCTCGCGAATGTAAATAAATGCCCCACTACAGGAAACAATGTGCAAGGTAAATCGCTACCGCATAATTCCCGCATGCATTATGCTATGCAGGCCTGTGGCGCTGAAATGCTGCGAAACTTGTTGTTCTGGATGCTTCATTGCCGGATCTGATACTAGCGCGAGCGTCCTAAAACGGGATTCACCACCTTAAGGCCAGTATCGCGCCAACTCGCAATGCGAGCGTCTGTGACGTGCTATTCATGGCGATGATAGGCAGTCGCCGTCCAGTCAAATCTGCAGGATTGTACGGAAACGCTAAGTCATGGTGGGCATTGGCTAAGGCACGTGATTCAGCACACGCGAATCCCAAGGTTCTCCCACTGGATTTCGAGGAAACCGTGGCCAGCTCTCTGTTTCAGGTGGTTGGTTGTTCGGTGTAAGGAAAATTCCTTTTCCTTACTTCGCATCCCCGCTCAACGCGTACATCACGGTAGCACCTCAGTCAGCACCGTTACCACTCGCATCAATAATCCGCCCGCCATTTTCGCATGTCGCACCCCGACCTCACGGCTCGGCGGTAACCCGCGCTCCGGACCTCCGCCTCGACACTTTCCCAACCTCAGTCCTAGGCCCGTCGCGCGACAACCACAGTCCATTACCGTTACCACTGTAATTTCGCTATATAATCCTTCGCTCATGCCTTCGCTCATTGTACTCGTGCTTCGATAGTGCAATCTTTGTTCGCTCACTCCATTGCACCCGTAACACTTGGTATTCAGAGCCTACGATCTCTTCTCGGACCGCATTCACACCTTCGTCCCCCACTATCTCAATTTTTTGGGGGGGGTAGACGTCTCTCAGCGATCAAGCACCGCCGCTCGTAGTGCTCTCTCGTAAGCACGCACGGCCACGACAGAGGCTCTCGCTGCGCTTGCCCGACACCCCCGCCATGGCTGAATTTACGCTCGCGACGTTGACGCAGGAGCAGCTTGACCGTCTGATCCGTCAAGTTGAAGATTCAGCACTCGAGATTGCGACGCTCACGGCAGAACGTGACTCCGCGCGTCAGCAATCTGCGGCGAATGCTCCAGCGTCACAAAATGCACCTGAACAGTCAGACGAGCCGATTGTCATCTCGTCCGGCACACCAACACAGCACGACAGCGTGGGACAGCGCTCAGGCGCAGCCAGTGACAGCGCCGCCCAGCCAATGCCTGGTATGGGAGGAAACCCGTACCAAGCCCACGGGAGTCTCGTGAAGCCCGTCGGCACGTGGAGTTTGCGGCAACAAGTGGCGACCAGGCAATCATGGCGCCGATGCCACTCAAGCCGCAGCGCCCGCCCTGTTTCGACCCGAGCCAGCGTGGTGGTCCGACGGTTCAGTCGTGGATCTTCACGATGAACGTGTTTTTTTACGCGAACTACGTCGAGTCGGACGCAGCGAAGATACGATACGACGTCTCGCTGTTGAGGGGCCCCGCTATGGACTGGTGGCGAGTCATCGTGACGTCGCCACGCGCCTACGAGCCACCGTCGCAAGAGGAAGGGCCCGCGGGCCCAGCAGTCAACTGGATTTCATTCTGCGAAACCGCCCAATACAGCACGTGGGATGCGTGGTGCGTAGGGCTTCGGGCGCGCTTCGAGCCGATTGCGGCTTCTATTTCGGCGCGTCAGAAACTGCGCACTTGGCGGCAGCTCGGGTCGGTTCAAGACTACACGAGCGGTTTTCTCGCATTCTGCGAGCAGGTCGGCTACATGCACGAAGCGGAGCGGGTGGACCGTTACGTCGGAGGGCTAAAGCCGGAAATCTCGCAGGAAATAATGCTACGCGGACTCTCGAATTTTAACGAGATTCTCGCGCTCGCCGAGAAAATCGACATTTTGCGCCGTCCGAGACCGGGGTCCTACTACGGACATCGTCCTCGAGGACCGATCGAGCACGCCACCGTACACGCCGTTGCGACGAATGCAGCTGCCGCACCATTCAAGGGGCGCTGCTTTGCTTGCAACAGGCCGGGCCATCGTAAAAGTGAGTGTCCAGAGGAGCTAAGGCGCCGCGGAGCAGAGCAAGGGAAGGAGTCTCAGAGGCAGGGAAACGCCAGCAGTCAGTAGAAATTGGGCCGACTACTGACGAGACTGCCTGCTCGCCCAACCACACCGACCCTCACCGAGTCACAGTACCGATTCACGCTATCGATCGGGCTCGGATGAATAAGGAGGGTACAGCGACGGATTGCCCAGTACTGATCCACGGGAAAATACAGGGAGCAGCAGTCAAGATTTTTATCGACGGAGGAGCTAGTCACAGTTTAGTTAATACCGCGACCGCACGGAAACTTCAACTGCCACTTAGCCGGTGCTTACCTGAGATTGATGCACGCTTAGTCGACGGCACGCCGCTGGCCATACGGGAGAAGGTGGAGAGAGTAAAAGTTCGCTGCGGAGGGAACTTCGGGTTTACACAAGAAATGCTCGCGACGACACTGGATGGGCACGACATTTTACTAGGACGTGATTGGTTGCGACGTTACAACCCGAGAATCGACTGGACGACAGGCAGCTGCACTGTGCGAAGTAGTGGTAACTGGGTCGAACTACCACGCTGGCAGTCGCCTGAGTCGTCGACGGTCCACGTCAACGCCATAACAATGAAACGGGCAGTCGCCGCTGGAGCTGACGTGTATGCAGTGGACATCGCAGTGGTAGGAGAAGCTGAGCAGCCGAGTGATTTTCAGAAACTGCTGACAGCGGTACCGCCTGAACTACAGGAGCTATTGAAACGGTACCCGGGGATTTTCCCCGACGACTTACCGGAAGGACTGCCACCTCAGCGGGCGCACGACCATAGGATAGAGTTAGAGCCGGGGGCACAGCCAACTGCACAGCGCCAGTTCAGACTGACACAGCCGGAGCTCGACGAACTGAGGAAGCAGTTAGATTACCTGTTAGCGAAGCAGTTTATCCGACCGAGCTCGTCGCCGTTCGCCGCACCGATTCTATTCACACCAAAAAAAGATGGAGGGTTTCGCATGTGCATCGATTACCGAGCGCTCAACAGGGTTACAGTGAAGTCACGATACCCCATTCCCCGCGCCGACGAACTGATCGACCAGCTGCGAACAACACGGGTGTTCTCAAAGATAGATTTACGGGGAGGTTACCACCAGATTAGAGTCGAACCATCGGACTGCGCCAAGACAGCTTTTAGGACTAGGTACGGGTCGTTCGAGTATACCGTGATGCCTTTCGGGCTGACCAACGCACCTGCAACATTCCAGATGACCATGAACGAGGCGTTTAGACCACTTTTAGATAAGTGTGTGATAGTCTACCTCGACGACATTCTCGTCTACAGCCGCGATAAGCAGCAGAATTTAGCGGACCTGGAAGCAGTGTTTAAAAATTTAGAGGAGCATCGGTTATTGACCAAGGGGTCTAAGTGCGAGTTCTTTCGGGATAGGTTAGAATTTTTGGGGCACGTTATTTCGGAGGCTGGGGTTGAGATTGACCCGAAGAAGCTGGATACGGTCAAAGCTTGGCACCCCCCGACAAACATCACGGAGCTGCAGAGTTTTTTGGGTTTTGTTAATTACTTCCGTCGGTTCGTCCCCGACATGGCACGATTAGCTGCCCCACTGACGGATCTGCTGCGGAAGGGGGTCGTTTTTACGTGGGGGGAGAAAGAGCATGCAGCCTTCTCTACCCTGAAAAATGTTCTCTGTTCACCGCCTGTCCTGCGCATTGCCGACCCACACCGCCCATTCGAAGTCATTACTGACGCAAGCGACATCGCTATAGGAGCTGTACTGCTACAGGATTTCGGGAACGGCCTACAGCCCATCGCATACGAATCACGAAAGCTGCACCCACCTGAGAAGAATTACCCGATACACGATCGCGAAATGCTTGCGATCGTGCATGCGTTCAAAGTGTGGCGCTGTTACTTGACCGGCGCAGACGTGACAGTACGGACAGAACACCGATCACTACAGTATCTCCGTGCACAACCCCACCTCAACCCACGACAGATCCGCTGGCTCGACTTTCTCGAGTCGAATTTCCATTACACGGTCACCTACAAAAAGGGAGCTTCCAACATTGCCGACGCACTGACCCGCCCCACTGCCCAAATCCACGCAATACTACTCGCCCAGACTAGCCCGCTACTGACAGGACTATTTACCCACGGGTATCAAACAGACCCATTCTTCACTGGAGGCAATTCGCAGCAGTTCGCAGCAGCACGAGGGGTCTATTACGTAAAAGCCGGGACCGACCGCATTTGGGTACCCGGGTATACACTACTACGGGAATTACTGTTACAGGAGGCACACGACGGAGTTACCTCGGGACATTTTGGGGTAGAAAAAACACGGCAGCAGCTGCAGCGGTATTATTACTGGCCAAAAATGTTGACCGACATCCAACGACACGTGGCATCGTGTCCCACCTGCCAGGTCATGGAATCATCACGGAAGCGGCCGGCAGGACAGTTGCAGCCGATTCCACCCCCAGAGCGTGCTTGGCAACAGGTGACGATGGACTTCGTCACGGGGTTACCGGCCGGGGCGAGTGGGAACGACGCGATCCTGGTCGTCGTCGATCGACTGACGAAAATGGCACATTTCGCAGCTTGCAAGAAATCAATCACAGCCGAAG